GTATCAAGTAACTTACAGATTTACATGTATCAAACACTTTATTGTTATCGTTCATGAGATAGTGATTATTTCCATTACATTTGCTCTTCATCTGCGTTATGAATAAAGTGGCATTTCTTGCGTAGCAAGATGCGAGACATGATAGCATAAGAAAAACGATTCCACACATCCCCATAAGTCCAATGCTGCGGAAAAAGAGACAAATGATATCATCATTCAAAATCACTTCCGATCATAAGCTTACATACGTTCGCATTTAAATAATTTTCTTTGTATGCTTGTCTAAGATGCAAAGATAGCAATTGCAGGTTATTTGCCATGCCTCAATTCACTTATGACATATTCATATAAATGAAAGATCTACATACCTCTCTAAATTCCTTATTCAAAATGAAACACTTAATGTAAGACTGATGTAAAAATGATAAGTAATAACTCTATATTTCTTATGTAGGTAGGAGTTAACTATATAACGAATGATGCATATATACTAAATGCAAACAAATTATGTGCAAACTACAAAGAATCGATTTTGTGTAAATTGTGGTGTAACACGGGGCATGTTAAAAAAGTCTTATCATTTTAAATTGTTCTAGTTGTGGTCATTTGAGTTCAGTGCTCCAACCACTTTAGTTGTACACGTGGACCCTTGATTCTATCTTTCTATATATTTATACATATTTAGATTTGTATTATATTGCCAAATTTTAAGAAATAATATTGAATCCTCCAACTCAATTGTCAAGATATACATGTATGGCAAATGAAAAATAAACACAATAAAGTATTATACAGTCTGATCCAGAGCTAATGTAAAGAGAATATGGCCATTTCTCAAACATTATGGACTTAGTTAGTACCTCAAGAATAAATCATCGACTATTTGATTTATCAATTTTGTGGTGACTATGGTACTTTAGTAGGAAGCGAGGGTACCCATGCACCCGAAATATATAATTTTTAATGAGATTTTTTATATATACAGGATGTCTACTTAAAGAATTATGATTTTTATTGAGGGCCCCCCCTTTTAGAGGAATATTTTATATTTCTTCAGTATTATTGTTATTTTTAGTTTTGTACATAACAAATATAAAAATATAATTAATTAATCTTTTTAACAAATATCCATGCAAATAACTGTTATGGAACTAGACTATTAGCAAAAGTGGGTACCTCAGGGGCAACATATGACCTGTTTTCATACAATTTTTAATATAACTTTATTAAAGGGCGATGAATAGTGATAATAATATTGATGTAAAGAGCTGGGGAGGGGACCTAGTGATTCTGGAAAAATTGAAATCTTTGCTGCACTGAGTTATACTTTTTTTCAAAAAATTATATTTAAAGGACAACTGAAATAGCTTTTCTCAACTTGCAGCTACAAAAATGCGGTTTTCTCCATTGTAGGCCCAACGTAGAGTTCTTGCGATAGCCATCATAAAATAAATGTTAGATAACTGCTAACGGTCATAGATAACGAAATAAAACTAACTGATCAATCAAATTGGCCCCCACGTGATTAGTAACGTCATATATTCACGTTATATTGATTCCTTTAGGCTAAAAATACCATTTCATATCTGCTTTAAGAAAAACGTAATTTTGTATAGGACTTTAGCGAACTTCCCTGGTTCCTACATTGCTCCCTCTATCACCCCAAATAAGTATTAAGAACCTAATGGTTACATGAACGTATATTTTGACTTCCTTGTCTTGTGATTTGAACCATAACATCTGTCAACAAATGAAAACCGTGTATTCTTATCATCGGGGCTTAGGATTATCCATTTTTAACATTGTTATTATTTTGTCCATAACTTTGAAATAGTGTGCACCATCTATGGGTATACCTGAAATTCAGCCATTTGAGACTTTGTATTTCAAGATTTGGGCATTTTTTATGTTCTAGACACCCTCAAACTTAAAAAACAAAGCCTAAATATGTTTTTAATCTTAGTTCTGTACAAATACAAATATACCACCATAGAGGGAGCAATGTAGGAACCAAAGAGGTTCGCTAAAGTCCTATACAAAATTAGGTTTCTCTTTTAAATATAATTTTTTGAAAAAAGTAGTCACCAGTGCAGCAAAGATTTCACTAGGTCCACTCCCCAGCTCTTTAAATGAATTTATTACCACTATTCATTGCCCATTAAAAAAAGTTATATTAAAAGTTGAAAGAAAACAGGTCATATTTTGCCCCCCGAGGTACCCACTTTTGCTAATAGTCGAGTTCATAATAGTTATTTGCATGGATATTTGTTAACATTATTAATTAATCATTTTACAATTCAAATTTTTTTAAGTAGACAACATTTAGATATCAAAACATCTCATTAAAAAAGTATAGCTTTCGTTTGCATGGAGACCCTCGCTTCCTACTAAAGTATGGTAACCCGATATGACGAATATCAATAATCATTCAATATGTTCTTTAGTTGATGTAGAAATATTAATAATGTCACGCAGGTTATTCAAGTCAATTATTTTGCATAATGAGAAAGTGTTCACCCAGGCATCTCTACAAAATACACGACTGGGACAGATGAACGGTCTCCAATGGCGCAGCGTGGCTATTTTGTGAGTGTACGCCACGAGTGAGCGAAACGAACGAGCTTTTAGGGGGGGGGGGTCGGAAATTTGAAAATGAAAATGAGATTGAGTATTGGGCAATTCATTATAAAAAAAATTCTCTAAATTTTGAGATTACGCCATGGCGTTTTATGCGTATATGACAATACGCCATGAAAAAATGGTGTCATCAAAATATCTTTACATTTTCAGTTAAGAAACGTTGATTCTCACGCTACGATATATCTTGCCAATCAGTACAGTAAGATCACACTTCATTAATTGTAAAGTCACTATACATCATTATTTGACAAATCTCCCAAACAATCGATATATCTATTTCATAAAGATAAAAAACACTGTGCAAAATGTGCGATATCTCCTGTTTTATTTCAAGATATAGTTAGATATCAAATGTTTGATACGGACATACGATGTGAGTGAGTGTCATACCACCTATATCAAATTATTTGATAGCCTATCATCATTACGTTGTATCAACAACAAACAAAGATGCATTTGCATATCAACCTTTTTTTGGATGCTAAACTTGCATATCCTAGGTATGTAATTATGCACATGTATTACATGCAAGACTGCCCACAAAATCAAAACGTCGATCCATAATGTCTGCAGGGATGGGGGGGGGGTCAAATTGATTCCCCCTTCGTTTTTTTAACAGTACATTTTCAAGTTTTGACTGTGTGTCCATATTTTTCTAACTTGGGCCACTGATAAATGACTTTTTTGGCATAATTATCAAGTTGATTAGGAGTAAAGGGGCAAATGACATTTTTACTCGGGACAGGTTCCGCCATTTTGAAAGCTGGCATGTGTCATGTTGCATTCTGGGAGCCAATCCTACTTGCGGCGTAATCGGGCTCCAAAATCACATCAACATTTGAAGAGTCGGCATTAACACTTCAAATTTTTAAGTTTCAAATTTTTATTTGCCATTATGGACACAAATTCCACTATATTTGTACGTTCCGGGACGGAGAAAGCATTCAATTCACTGAAGTAAGAATTTATGACATATGTGACAGAAAATCTTTTTCTTAGTGTTAGTCATCATTTATGTTCACCACTTTAAAGTGCCCGATAAACTATAAAATGCGCATGCGTCCAGGTGTTGATAAACTATAAATAGCGAAAACCCAGGGTTTGTCACCACAAGGTAAGCCAGGACGTGTTGAGAGAACAGCTAGTGTTGATATTGAATTTATATGTAGCCAGATAAGGTTCCTTATTGAAATTACATATGGTTATTAGCAATACTTTGTAGGTGCTAAATAATAAAATATTTAGAGTATATATGAGAGAAATTGGTCATTTCGAACCTGTTGAAAAGTTTGTGGCTCTCGGCTACACCGGGGAATTTACTTCCATGAGTACACACATAAATGTGGGGTTCCCCAAGAGGTACGCGACAAGGTGACCTGGCATCAAATGTACGACTAAATGCTACTATCGAGAAGATAAAATAACGAATACGATAAGTTATTGCATTTGACAATTCCGAGCCTTCATCTCACTGAAGTATTTTGAAGTGAAAATAGGATTTTTGTTTTAGTACATGGATTCAGATGAACGTAACTTTATTCTGACAACTAATCAAAACTGAACAAAATTGATTGTACGTAACAGACAATTTATTGTTTTACAATGTTTTGATTGGCTAAACGAATGAAACCAACAAATTATGACAATTTTGAAATGTAAAATTTAAAAGTGACAAACACAACCTCCCTATCCACTCTTTGGGAGCCCTAGTAAATTAGTAATATGGACATGCAGCAGTGGTAGTGTACAGCTTATTATCACACTACGCTTTGTTTGTAATAACACTGTTCACTCAACGTATGTTTTGTGTGTGGGCAGTCAACGATAATCATTGTTTTATCCCGGTTATATGACCTCGGCAATTATAACAAAACCGTACTAAACGAAAAAACGCATATAAGAGAAAGCTTTCACACACATATAAAAAATGAACTAGTCTAATCCGCCAGTATAAACTCTGTGCTATACGTAGCCGGGTCAGGCGCACACTTTAATTACAGAATAGATATGAACGTATAAATACAAACGTGTCCATTAGTATTCATTAAAGCGATTTTCGGGTTTAATAACTACATAACTATTTGCGGGATTTAGTGGTATTTACTTTATTTCACACAGTGCGATAAAACGCAAGAATCTAAAATATATGTTGTGCCTGCAAAATCCCAGCAGAGGAGGCAGTTTGTTCAAACTGGCATGAATCTATCAACTAAAAAAAGTTACATGAAAAAACTAACTGACATATTCTATGTGACTTCTACTTATAGGTGCGAGCTTGTTAACGTGGCTTATAACCCTGTTTAATTTTTCATGAAGCCACTCAGTAAAGAATTTCTGCGCTCTCATACTTTTGCAGTCACATTTCCCACGGCAGCCGCACGGTGAATTTCAAATTTCTGTTGATAAATAATACTTTTTTCATTTTATTTACATCAGGACAATTTATAAATGTTATTCATTAATTAATTCAAAATTAACCTTGTTTTTCCAGTACTTTTCATCCTTTAGGGAGACGTGTACTCTCCGTCTGTCATTTTTAAATATGCCCACAGTTTGTCAGTGTTTCAAACTGCGTGCATAGTATGAATACCGCGCCGTGTTATGAATTCTAGGATATGTGTTTAATTATAAGTCTTCCATAATTCTTGTTAATAAGTTCACGGAAGTTTTTCCTTTTTTAGTATTTATGTCACCTATAATGTTAGTTCCGTGTCAAGAAGCCGTAAACCTCAACCTCACACAATGTCAGAACACCAATGTGGTCAAGTTGAACTCTTAAGTAGCTTCCCACAAGGTGACTTGGGCAGTGGAACATTTGCCAGGACTGATTGTTTGCGAGTACATCTTGGTGGTAAACACAAAGATCCCACGCGACCGTGTCGTTGCTCACTTCTATTGAAAAATGTTTGAGCCTTTCTGTAAAAAATGACATTGCATAGCTCGCGTCAAATATTATAATGATTCAATTGAGTGGACTAAGTGAATCCGAAAAAAGTGTGATAAAAATAATGACTTGGTATAATATAACGAACGAAATGTAAATTATACAGTATACTCTCAGGAAATTAAATAAGTTGTCGGCGAAATTTTAACGATATAAAAGAGGCTGCCCAAATTTTCTCAGACTAATGAAATGCCATAGTAGTACCAACAAAAAGTTCTAAAAAGCAGGCCCAATGTCCCGTTTAATGACCCCTATTCTTACTTTTAAAAATGGATTCTAGCAATACAATCCAACATGAATCTACTTGTTGAAATTCGATCAACTTGTTTTCTTCTGAGAAAATGGGGATTTAAGCAACAAGTCCATTCATATGGGATAGTATTCCTAGAATCCATTTTCAATGGTTAAAATAGGGGTTCTCAAACATGACATTAACGTTTAAGGTACAGCAGGAAAATAACATTTGGGGAAAATTGCTATACCTGGTCGTGTTATATTTTTATCGCACAAAATAAAGTATAAAGGCATGTGTAAATTCCATTGCTTTTTTCAGGAAAGTATCTGGTAAGATGTCAATGCGAACTCCAGTAAAATTCTGATATCGCTTTATATTTTCCAAAATTTTCTTTTTAAGTTTCTAGACAACACAGGAGATACGATTGACCTGTTTCCAGGTTTACTAAAGATAGACAATGTAATGATACTTTCCTGAAAAAAGCAAGGAAATACACACATGCCTTCATACTTAATTTTGTACAAGAAAATACGTGTGGAGGTACAGCAAGTTTTTCACAAATTGTTATTTTCCAGCTGTACCTTAACTAAGGCCTCTTGAAATTTTTGGTTGGTACTAAAGCGTGAAAACCAGGGATACGTAATAAATCTTATGGTGTTGACGACATTATATATAATCACCACTTTTTTATTCAATATATACCATTGTGACATCGCAATACTCACAAAAGAGTAGAACATATTAATTATGCTATAAATATTTCAAATAAACTAAAATCCAATGACATTTTTAGCCTTAGTGTGGGAGTTCTTATATCAACCATTTACTGAAATTGCTATCAATTTGAATGCCTTAATTATAAATTACTACCTGGTGCCTCCTTGCGATTCACAAGTCTGACAGCATTGACATTGTACATTCCCTCAAGATCAACCATCCACCATGCTTTTTCTTCAGGATCTGTGTGTGTGCATGGCGCATCAGCGTTCCATTCAGTCGTATAATCCCCATCAACGGCTCGGTGTGAGTATCCGTTAATTGTCGTTGATGATTGATTAGTGATCTTCAACGCCAGGTGTGCTTCGAAAAAAATTCGTAATCAACTCTTCATACAAACGATGTACATTTATTTCACCATGATTGAAAAATAAGAAAGAAATATTCCGATAATTTCATATACACTTGTATTGTATGTGAGAGAGTCTGCCCAAAGTAATGGATACAGTTACAATAACGATGAAAACTTATGATAAAGGTGTAAATGTAACTTGACTTCATTTACAACGCCTATTAATTTCTTCATTTTTTCTCAATTACAATAGGTCGAAATTTGACAAATTTGATGAGCTTTTGAAAATTGGCGTATTGACGTTATAATGACAAAGACAATAAACTACAAGATGAACAGAAAAAGGAGACCATTGAAGTAATCTAGACAAGTGACATCAATGAAATTTTAGGCACACCAGAACAGTTCTAATGAAATTTGTTGAGGTATTAGAAATGATGACAATTCATAATCCAACCCCTTTTCTCAACACACAGGGAAAGAAAAATTCAAACATAAATAGGCTTAAGCATGTAATCCAATTGGGGGGTTACGGTTGCAAAACGTATGGAGGAGAGGTGTATAATGACACAGAATTAAGGTCACACAAGTAAAAGCATCCAATTCTAAAATTGTCAACGTTTTATTTCGTGTGGGTAAATACATAATATGTACGAAAATACTTAATCACAAGGCAAATGATCTCCTGCCTTTTGTTCAAGAAATATTACGATTCGTGTAAAATATGTATACTTACTACAAAAAGGACCCTCCTGCTCGTCCAATACCTGGAAATGATAACGTTATTATTATTAATCAATGTTTCATTCTAGATGCCCAGGCCGATGATGTAATGGATAGAGTAAACATGTGCTGCTCAAATATCAGGCATTTCGTTCGACTCGAAATTGGATTGACAGGTTTTTGTATTTAAGAAATTATTACACTTTTAGAGGGTTCTGTGTTTATGGGTCCCCTGTAGGTTTAAGTCCACACAAGACTTTCATTTGACTAAGGTTAACAAGTCCATGGGAAACAACTTAATATTAAAAGTCAGGCACTCTCATACCAGGATAACGTAATGGCATACGAGTATTACGGATATTGGATAATAACACATTTATTTGATAACTTGAAAGAATCAAATTTCCCAATTCATATTGATGTCCCGTCCCCTATGTTTATTTAATAATTATTCTGGAACAATTTGTGTTACTTTTTCATTGCCTCTAAAACAATATACACTCCCATTCATAAAGGACGATTCTCGGTTTGGAGAACAGTCTCCTGGGCTAATAATTTTGTTCATGAAAAATATGGAAATATTACCCAGATTAAACTATGAATATTCAAAAGAGGACATTTAAATCTACAAGAAGTAAAAATAACAAATTGGTCTGACGCAGGGGTAACGCTCAATTAGACCAATTCAATAAAATACAAGTCTCGATTTGAGGAAAGAAGTTAATCAGTGTACTGTACTAATATTATTTTGCGAAAAATCTAGGAATATTACCCAAATTAAATTATGACTATTCAAAAGAAGACATTCAAATCTATATTATGTAAAAAAAATTGTCCGAAGCAGGGATAATGCTCATTTAGATTGATGAACTTCGTTAACTCCCCCCATAGGATATAATCGTTTAAACGCCTATTTATGTTTGAATTCTTATTTGCATAGTCTGTAAAGAAAAAACTGCTTTAGGGCTTGAGCTATAAAGTACAGCATTTCGTCTACCTCCAATTTTTCTCAATGTTTTCAGCAATAACATTAGGTCGGATTTTGATGACAAATCTGAAGTTTTGAAGATCGACATTCCCATAATAAACCAATTGGAACTGATAGGTTTGTCGAAGGTAATATGGCAGAATATCCATCTATCCGAGTTCTCGCAAAATACAGCTAGTTAGGTAACCGATTGAATTTGCAAAGTTTGTGTAACAAAAAATGATATGTTTCTTAACGTTCAACAAAGTTATAGGTCTCCAAAGTCCAAAACGTCTCCAAATTATTTTTCAAGAAACCCCTCCCGTTGAAATAATACAGGAGTTGAAAAATGGTTTTCAAAAATGACTTTAACGCTCTGTAACTTTAATGTTCACAAAGTAAACTTAACACTTAGCATTCAAAACGTTAGACAATTCAATTTTTGGTGAAGCATTTACTGAAAAGATATCCAGAAATCTGATTTGCTCCGATCCCACCATTTCCCATTGGTTTACATTGAATGACAATTTTCAAAAATTCATCATATGTGTCAACAATTTTCGACCTATTGTAATGGAAAAATGGGCGTTGGAAATAAAGTCAAGATGCATTTCCACCTTTAGCATTTGTATTTTTTTTGCGTAATTACTACTTGGATCCATTATAGGTATTACTTGTTTACTACAAGCAGTAATGTAACAGAATTTTCAATATTTGATGAAGTGAATAACACAATGTATCCATTAGGATCGAGGTCCGTAACGTCGATGTCCCACTTACTTTTAAAATGCAGGAAGTAATTCATCGAAGGAATTATCCGAGGCATTATGTTATCATATTTACTATGTTCAATTTGCGTCATTAATTTATAATGTGTTTACGATTCGCCTCTAACACAGGAGTCACTAAAATAAATTATTTATTTTTGTCGCCCATCAAAAGATGAAGACGTCTTTAAAATATTTAAACTGGTAAAAAACTGACTGACTGAAAAAAAATATTTGCAATTTCACAAGCTGCGTTTGAGCTTGTTCAGAGGCATGCATGTTTTGTTTAAAAAATATTAACTAAAACTTGGATAACGTTGTCAGTTATGTAAACTTTTATTTATTTGATTTTATTTAAAGTTCTTGGAGCACGTAGGTAATCGCAAACAATTTCAAACGATTCTAACTTGAATTATGAATATTTTCTGATGATGAACATGGATGTATCTTTGAGATCCATTCATTATCTTCAAGGAAAGTATATATATTGATAATTTAGTTAATCAGACCTAAGTGATATTGAAGGGGCAATGGACCAATCAACATACATTTTCAAAAATATTGACCTAATTTTCACCAAAAATGCAACCTTTTATTATATTGTTGAATGCATAATTAGAATGTGCTTTGAGAATGGAGAAATAACATGGGGAACACTTATCTTAAAGCAATTAAGTTTTTCTTTCAAGAACTATTTGATACATCAAAATAAAGAATAGTAATGCATTAAACATTGTAAAAAGTGATTGCATTTTTGGTGAAAATTGGGTCAACATCTTTGAAAAAGTGTTGATGGGTTGATTGCTAGTTAAATATCTCCGAGTTTGTTTGATTTAATTATTGCTGTATATAATTTTCTTTGAGATAATGAATTGATCTTAAAGATAAACCTGTCTTCATTGTCAGAAAATAGTCATAATCCAATATATAACCTTCTGAAATTGTTTGCGATAACCTATGTGCTCCCTAATTGAAATATGATGTATGTATTTTTTATTTGGAGAAAGACCATATTGTATTAAATATTGTCTTACCTGTCTATAGTAGGTCATTGAAGTATC